CTACAAGACCTGTCCTATCACCAAATCCTCTCCTACAAGCTGCATTAATTCCTAGATAATCTGATCCTACACAGAGGTCTTTTTCTGTGCCCCTAGACACTCTGTGTGTGTGAGTACAAAACCTACCAAATTGAACCAGTATGCTTCATGATGTGCTAAGAAGGCAACAGTCCATGTCACCTTGGTGTTTTGTTTGTTACTCTACTCTTGGTACTCTTGGTGTTTTGTTTCCCCTTGTTTAACATATGCTTTTAAATTGAGTATGACTGAAAAATGATGCTGTACACCAGAAATTGACACAACATTGTAAACTGATTATACTTCAATTTTAAAAAGAAAAAAAAAGTAAATTGAAATATAATATACATAGAGAACAGTTTACAAAGCCTAAATGTGCAGCTTGATGAATTTTTACCTAGAGGATATACTAAAACATTATCAGTACCCTCAAATACCTTCCTTGTACCCCTTTCCAATCATTAACCACACCCAACAGTAATTACTACTCTGATTTTATCACTATGGGTTAATTTTATCTGTTTTTGAAATTTATATAAATGGAACTATACTATATGTATTATTTTGTCTCTAACTTCCTTTGCTCAGGATTATGTTTTTGAGATTCTTCTGTGCTGCACGTAGTCAGAATATGTTCATTCTTACTGCTCCATGGTTTACCATTATATGAATATACCACAATTTATTTACCCCACCTCTTATTGATATACATTGGAGTTATATCCAGTTGAGAGCTGTAAATATGTCTTTTGGAGTAACTATGTTTACCCATAATTTATGTGTACACGCAGCTTTGGCAGATTCTGCCAAATAGTTCCATAGGCAATGCATGAGACTGTCTGTTGCCCCAAATCCTTTCTAACTTACAGTATTATCAATTTATTTTTTATCTTATGCAGTCTTGTAGAGGGGTAGTGATATTTCCTTTTTTCATTTGCTTATTGACCGTTTGAATATCCTATTTGAAGTGTCAAGGGCTTTCCTGTTTTCAGTTGGGTTATCTGTCTTTTTCTCATTGATCTGTAGATTCTCATTATATAATTACAGATATAGTTCATAATCATATGTATTAGAAAATATCTTCTCTCACTCTTATCGAGATTTTAATTTTTTATATTGAAATAATTTTAGACTTCAAAAATTCAAAAATAGTACATTTCCTAGATACTCTTCACTCAGTATCCCCTAAAGTTAACTTAAATATTTAAATAGTTCAATTATTGAAACCAGAAGATTAACATTGATACAATTCTATTATCTAATCACAGACCTGTATTAGAGGTTTATCAGTTGTCACACTAATGTCCTTTTCTGCTGTTGGATCCACTCTAGAAAATAACATTGCACTTAGCTGTCATGTCTCCTTAGTTTCCCCCAGTCTGTGGCAGTTCCTCAGTCTGTCTTTATCTTTCATGACTTTAAAACTTCGGGGGTGAGTACTGCCAACTGTTCTGTGAAATTTCCCTCAGTTTGGGCTTGTCTGATGTTTCATAATGATTAGGTTGAAAATATGCATTTTTAGCAATAATACCATAAAAATGATGCTGTGGCTTCTCAGTGCATCAGATCAGGAGGTACCTAATTGTTAGTATCTTATCACTGATAGTGTTAACTCTGATCAGTTGGCTAAGGGGGTCTTGCCACATTATTCCTTTATAAAATTACTGTTTTCCACTTTGTAATTAATAAGTATTAGTTCAAAGTATTCTGGAGCCATACTTTGAAACTATGCAAATATCTTGCTTTTTGTCATACTTTCATCCATTAATTTTAACACCCATCATTGATTCGTATCTACAATTATTTATTTCTGTATTTTCCAACTTTGCATGTGTACACATATAATAAAAATTATGACTTCATATTAATACTTCTGATAAGCTCCAGCCACAATATTTTTAGCTTTCTCAGATAGACGTGGCACAGTTCTCTCTCTGAGTGGTCCTGCTGAAGCCTCCTCTCTAGGGAAAGCCCCCATTCATCCCCAGACTAGGGGAGGAACTTACACCATTCTCATAAACCAGCTTAGACAAAACTCTTCAGTAATCCCCTGGCAAAATCCTCTCTGAGGCGTCCAAGAGATGTGGAGCCTTATAAATCTGCCTCTGAAGAGACTCCATCTCATACTCACTGTCACTGCCTGGCATAGTGGCACTTTATCAAAACTGAGGCACACAGAAAACTCAGACTAATGGTTTATAAATGTCCTATAAATATTCTCAAAGTTTTGATAGGGGACAAAGGAATACCATTAGCCACATTAGAAAACAACTGTGGTCGAGGTTAGGCAGAGTCTCTGACTCTGGCCACTGGCTAAGAGGGAACATCCCAAACGGCACAGGCAGTTGCCTTTTCTTTCCTACTTCGTCCTTGTTGGTGATGCACTGACCATTCACATGATGGGCAGAGGCAATTCCCCCAGTGTTGCCAACTCAGAAAATCATTTCCAGGTTTCCATAAAACTGTTTCAGCTCCTGCATGTACTTTTATGAACATCTCAGTGGGAAGGTTAGAAATACTGTATACCTTTGGGGTTTTTTTTAAGGTTGTTTTAGGTTACCTTTAGGAACATTTTTAAGATAAAGGAGTACAAAAAAGTTGAAAATAATACCAAAAGTATGCATAATCAATTAAATTTTAGTCTATCCTGGGTAATTTCATCAAACAAAATGTATAGCTATTTCAATTCCTGTAAGTGGTTTCTTTTTTAAAAAAAAAAATAAAGTAATAGCCAGTTTACTCAATAATGCATCAGAAGTCAGGGGCCAAGTCCCAGTGAGTATGGATGTCAGTTCATTAGCCTTTGAAGCCGTCAGGATTCACAAAAATCTCTGCTTGCTGGGAGAGTTTATCAGCCTATGGGCTGGGACTGAATAATCCTCTTTCCACACAAGTAATGAGACAGGGCAGCAAACAAGGTTACCAATAAAGACCACAAAGGCTAAAAACTATTGTTGATGAAGTTCGGTGTTCACCTCCCCCAGATAGGATGAGTTGCCAAGGGGTGATCTCAAACTTCTGTCTTCTTAAATTTTACCTTGATGGAATTTCCATCCTCTCCTACAAGCATCCCCTGTCTCTCAGTTTCATCATGAATACGGTGGATGAAGGAAAAACATTTTCTGAATTGAATACAGACAGAGTATGCTGTATTTCTAACTGTATTTCTTACCCACAAGAGTGTGGCTAAAAAGCAGGAAGTTCTAAATAGAGATTCTAAGGGATTGATAAGCTGTTTACTTCCTCATGTCATCAATTACCATGGCCAATAAACCAATTGTACTGATTGGCTCCCTACAGCACTGTGTAGGATGCATTTCTTCGCACACTGATACACTGACATTTACTGTTACTCTTCAATGGTCATTGTTTGGCCAGTTTCCAGTACCCAGTGAATTGGCAATGCTTCAAAAGTCAACTAGAATAAACTCTTCTTATATCCGTTTTTTGTAATTATTAATTCATTCATTTAACTAACATCACTGCCATTTTTAACCTTTATTCTAAGCACTGTTCTAGGCTTGTGGTAATTATATCACAGTCCTTGCTTTCATGACAATACATGAATGATTATCATTTGAGTAGTGTTTACAAACTGCTGCACAAGAAGCAAGGTAAAGTGTCACAGAGACACAGAGGTAGGAATAAGTGCTCCCATGTGAGAAGATTAAGGAACATTTCACAGAGCTTATCTGTAACAGCAAGTAGATTTTGAACAGGTAAGATTAACAGATGATGAAAGGACACTCCTAGCAAATGAAGTAGCACGGAAAAGTATATGAATATTAAAAAAAATAGCAATGTCACAATTTGACTGAGGGGTGGGGTACTCAAAGACAGATAGAATGAACTGTAATTTTGGAAATGCAGGTTTGAAATAAGTCAGGGAGAACTTTGAATGTCAGCCTAAAATTTTGAATTTTCTTTTGCAATCTCTCCAGCAAATAAAATAAATTTTAAAATTGTATTTACTTAAAAAATTCTGACCGAATAATTCCCAATTACTCTATCTGAGAGAATTTATTTTCAAAGAAATAATGTTTTCTAAATCTACAGATTTAATGCCCTACAATATCAATTGAGTGATTTTTTAAATAAATTGGTTTTCATTTTCACAAAGTACATTATATGTTAGAGAGCGACACCTAACGGTAATACACTGTTTTACAGTCAATTCTATGATTCAGGAGGAAAGTGGATAAAAAGGCAAAAGAAAGGAGTTGGGAGAGTCCTCCCAGAAGGGAGACTGCCCAGGACGACAGTAGAGGCTGTGGTGGACACTAAGGTTGGGGAGAAGAGATGGCAAGTGATTGAAAGGGTCCTCAGATTTCCTGTATTACTAAGCTCCAACACAGCACCAAGTATCAGTCAGCATTTGGGACCCTCCATGCCCGTGTCACCGGCATCAGCCAGACAATGACAAGCCTAAAGTATTTTTAACTAAGGATAGTATGAAAGTGAAAAATGTGCATCTATCTAACATTGGGTCTTCCAGATCCCTGGGAATTGCACCAACAAGACAAACCCGAAATGTCAAAATGTTTGTCTAACACCACATATAAACAGTAAAAATGCATAAGAACGGTCCTTCAATCTACATTACTGATGTCTTTCTGAAAAAAAGAGGTAACATGATAAAGTGTCATAAAATGCCTTCAGCCCCCAGTGTTACTCTTCTGCCACCTCCAGTTCAAGACCACAGCAACTCCTGCCTACCAATGGTCATAGCTTTGTGCTGGAGGACCTTCTCTTTTGAGTACATCCTGTGATTAGAGTGGGGCGTGATCCAGGCTAGGGTACACTTTCCTGAGCACATGTGCGGGGCAAATCCAACCCATTAAAAGTAAGAAAGTCTGTCACACTCACACAATGATGATGATTAACTTTCGACACACACATTCCCTTGCCCACCCTCTAACACGAGCAGGCTTAGAAAGAAACTGTTCCGCGTTTAAATGAGTAGGAACTTAGTTCTCACTTACCCTCTGCCTGGGTTTAGTATGAAGACCTGCCATCACTCCAGCCGACTGGTACTCCGGGCTGCAATCCACATATCCTGGACTGGAGAAGAAAAAGTAAAAGTTAGCACAAAACACCAGGTCATTTCAGGTTCTCAGTTTGTCAACAGCACAGGCCTTCTACTCACATCTTCAAGCAGTACAGAAGAAGAAAGCCAAAATAATCCTATTTGCTTATATGATTCTAAGTGGGTACACTTCATTTCAGCCTTTAGCTCAGGTTTTATAATTTTAGCTTGTACAAAGACTTTGAATTATATATCTACTGGGACACGAGTTTGTGGCTATAATTCATTTTCCTAAATGACATTAACTTAATGCCATGTATTGAACATCTGCTATGTGCCGTCACAGAATTATGTACAAGGAAAAGTCTGACTGAAATCAAGCAAACTGTTTCCAGCATCAAGTGCTAGTTTTCCTCTACATATGCATCCTAAGAAAATACTCTTATGCACATCAGGTTTACTCAGATCTCTTAGTTTGACTCAGCTAGATTTATATTATGTAATGGATAAATGGACTTCAAATTCTTTGAATTCCTATTGTCTACATTATAATCTCCCAAGAACTTATGAAACATCAGAGGAAGAGAAGGATATTCAAACACACAGGGACTATCCTCAGACAGGAACACTGTCTGGCAATGCAAATGGAAATATTATTGTTGAATCTGGAGGGACTCAAAGAGAGTAATCAGAGTATATGGGCCCCAAATGCCTTTTCCAGCCGCCAGAGGCGGGGGACAGCTGTATGGATGGAAGGACCTGAGGTTTCCCAAGGCAGCCGTGCCTGCTGGCGGCCCTGCCGGGACAGGCTCCTTGGTGGGTTGTACAGAGATCAGCAGGGGGGTGAATGCTCCCAGGAGGACGCCCACCAGCCACCCCAGCACAGGGTTCTTTCCAGCTGGTTGGAAGCCTGCCTCTGTGACAAGATAAATCCTAAAGGGGCTGATTCTTTTCTTCATCTCTCCTGCTTCCCCCACTTCTACCAGAATAATGTTCCCAGCGAGAATCACAAGATAGGCATGCCTTCTGTCCACAAGTTTGTGAATTTCCGTTAGCATGAACCCCAAGCCCAACGTGCATTCTCCTCTAAAACCGCAGCTTAGTTACAATTTTATCTTGTAAAATTAGATAATAAATGGCTACCTAAAGTCTATACTACATGAATGAATATCACTCGTCTACAAGAACTTTTCAACCTTTCTTACCCACTTTGTAGTATGTGAATTTCTTTAAACTTCATAGCACATTTTAAAACCCAGTCTGAACTTTTGTCTTTTGATCAATGAATTTAGCTCATTCACATCTTACATGAAAGACAACATACATCCCTGGCCCCTTTGGTTGATTTTAGGCTTACTGTGTATCATTGATTATTGCTGTGGACCCATCTGTTCATAGTGGCGCCCAGATGCACACTCTGGAGCAGCACCGTCTAACAGGACATTCTGGGAGGAGGGAAAGGTCGTATATTTCTGCTACCAATTCAGTAACCCCCAGCCACAAACGGCTATTGGGCAATTAAAATGTGGAAATGAGACTGAGGAACTGGAATTTTCACTTAATCTTAAGTAATTTAAGTGGTCACATGTGGCCAGCGGCTACTGCATTGGACAGTGTAACCTAGAAGCTTTTGTCAGGCTCGGGTACCAGAAGACCAGGGTCCCCAGTTGACTGGCAGAGGCCAGGAGCCTGAGGTGGCATGGCTGAGCCTGGCCTGCGCTGCTAGCAATTCCAGGGCAAAAGAGGGACCAGGTAGCACAGAGGAGGAGAATGGGCTCCGGGTCAGCTCTCCAGGTGTCTTTTCCTCTCTGCAGACCCTGGCATCAAGAGCATTGAGATGTCTCATCTCCGGGACTCTGAAGGTCTCTGCACCACTAGGAAGGCCTCTCAGGCATTAAGGTATCTCTACCTGAGGTCCGGCCGAAGATCGTGGGAAGCCAGCCCCCTTCCTCATGTGCACTTGGCTTCCTGCTCTAGTTTCTGGCCCTGGACTAGAACCATGGCTCTCAAACTTAAAGAGACAGTAGGATCAGGCAGTTCACCAGGAACCACACATAGCAAGTAGACAGGCCAGCTCCTTTTCAGTTGCTGGGGCCCGAAGAAGCCAGAAAAATCTGTCATTTTACCCTAGGCTTTGAGGAGAGGCCGGCCCTCTCCATTTCTCTGTCCCTTAGCTCTTCCCAGCACCACGGGGGCTGGTAGCAGGTCTCTCCCAAGTTTCCTCCTTCAGTTGTTATAATGTCCCAGAAGGAAACGGGAACTGGGGCCATCAATCCTGTCACATTCCAAGAATCTCCTCCAGCAGATTCTCTGCACATGTGTTGCATCTTTGTCCTAATTACCTTCCAACTGAATAACTAAGGAGTTGGAAATGCTAGACCGTTTCGGCCTGGGTCCCACATGCCTGTTCACCCACGGCTGGATGGAACATTTCTGAAACTTAGCTTTCCTTATGTTCCGCTGAAGGCCATCTTTCCCACCTCTGACTGCAGGGCTCCTGGTGAACATACTCTGTCCTCTGTAGCAGCTCCCCTCCTGCCCTCCTCCTTCATTTTTCGTTCTTGGAATATACTTTGTTTATCAGTAACATTTTAGAACTACAAGGAGACTAAAGATCTTCCAGTCTAAGTCCCTAATTTTACAGGTGAGGAAAAAGACTCACAGGAAGGACCAACAGAAGGCACGTACACAGTCACTTTCCCTTCCTACCCGACACCAAGGCAGAGATCACTAATCAATTAAAGAAAATCTTTCCCACTGGCCTCCAAATCTTTCTCAGCAGAATACTCCAGGCAGCCTCTCCATATGTAATCACAAACATGACTGGCACCACACATTAAGCCCATTTGCCCATCCCATGTTAAGTGATGTCAGGGTAATTTGTGGCTAAACTAAAACTGAAACCTGATGTCCCCTGTTTCCCAGGCCACTAACCTTTCTACTACATCACAAGGCTGTGCTTATGTTCAAACGTCATGTTTCACATCTTCACAGCAAACACTCCATGTTGGGGTTTAAGTTTTCCAAAAAATATCTAATCACGTTTTGGCCTTTTAACTTACTCTTCTTGAATAAGGGAGACATTTACAGGGTTTAACAATCAAAGCAATATAAAGTTGTACCCCAAGAAGTCATGCTCCCACCCTGCCCCCATCCACTTCATCTTCCATTTTTATTAGTTTCTTGTTTACCCTCCCAGCGCTTCTTTGTGCAAATACAAGCAAATCAACTATGTATTCTCAATTTCTGCCCTGGATACACACAAAAGGCAGCGTATTATATACGATTTTAACACTTCTTTTTTTTTTACTTAATATATTTTGGAAATGGACTTTCCTCATTTGTTAGCAGGTACAAAATCATATTACCTTTGACATTTTGCTCCTTCAAACAAGATCCAATCTCCAAGACATGTCTCCTTAAGCCCTGCTTTTGTCTTTTTCTGAGATTTGAGGCCACTATTTGGGCAGCCAAGTAGAACTTTCTGCCTAAGTTTAAAGATCATTCAGGATCCTCCTCAGAATGTGGGTGAAGTTTTTCTATTATCCAGCAGATACGGCCAACACTTTCACTTTATAAGAAAATTTATTAAAAGCACTGCTCTTCTGAGAAACATTTTTTTAAAGGCATGGAGCACACATAATGTACCATAATGGCACTGATAAGAGTTCAGTATGTCGGAGCTGCCAAGTAGAAACCTGGAGGCTTCAGAATTGATTTTAAGGACAGAGCCCTGGTTATTACATGTCTGCTCCTAAAACTGCTGTCGGTTCCACTATTAGAAGTCCCGAGGCTGCTCTGGTCCTGCATAGAACCTCTTTAGATCTGTGGCTGCCCCCAGATTGACCCACTGGACTGAGCTCTGATTAAATGGTCCCCGAAGTGTCTGCCCATGTTCTCTTCTCAGTTGCCCTGAGTGAGCATGCCTGTCCATCAGAGGAAAGTGGAGCCTCTGGGATGTGCAGCATCCTTGCACTTTCTGATCTTACCTTCTATATAAATCACTTTTGCATTTTTCAGTTCCTTCCAATTGCCCTGATAATAGAGAATGACCCCTCCCAAGGAAGCCAGCATCTCTGGGAAAATAAATGCTGGAGACATTATACAAAGTGAAGAAACAGATTTAAGGGTACATATCCTCATCTCCTTCACAACACTTCTTGGATGGCCAACTTCTTTGAATAAACACTAAAAAAAAATAATTGAGGCACAGGATGGATGAAGATAAAGAATAACAAGACCTCGTAGCTCGGATTACTGAAGACAGGGAGGTAGAGACACCACAGGGAGATTGCTTTTGTCCCTTTTCCACCCTTGCTCCCCAGGGAGAGCCAATCTGGGCGCCCTGTGAGGAGAGCACCCTGGCATCCTGCTCTGTCCCCGGGACACAGTCTAAATGCTGGACCAGAACATCTGCCTTAACAGCACTAATTAGTAATTTATTTCTCCCTCATGTAGCCAAGCACTTAATGAGCTGAATCTTGGGAAGCAGCTGAGGAACGGTTCACTGCTGAACAGCCCATCTTGACTTTAGAAGTTGCTACTGTTTTTCACGTTACCCTCAGTGTTATCATTAGGTTGTGAGCAAAACCAATTTTCTTAATCATCCCTAATCTCCCTAACCCTTCTTCCCTAGAATAATACCATCCATGGGCTGCACAAATTGGGCATCTGAGATTTCATTGCATTAGTAACACCTCAAAGATCATTTATGGCTGCAGCAATCAGCCTCCAATTTCATCTAATTAGAGGGCAAGATTATTTCCCTAAATCCTCACTAATATTTTGAGTTGACAAACAATGAAGCAATCCTGATACAGAGAATAAATGAGTTTCATAAAGCCACGGCTTTTTTGCTCCCTCTTCAATAACCTGACCACCATGCCCCATGTGCAAATTTAACTGTCAAGAACAGAATACATAAGCATTCGTCACAACAGTCATTAGCCAAGAAAACTCCAAAGAAACTCCCCTGAATCAGAAGCATTTTAACACTGGGGCTGCCATCCACCAGGAACAGTGCTACTGCTTTTAT